GCCCCCCCCCCCCCCCTCCCCGACCTTCGCCACCTTTCACCCGCCTGCCCAATAAAACGCCTTGTTTTTCTTGTCATGATCATGATCAAGTTGGCGATGGAGAGCAACGGCAAGCGAGTCACCCGAAAAGGAGACAAGATTTCCTACGACATAGGGCAGGTCGATTTCGGGGAGCCGGGGACGAACGGACAGCATTCGTTCTTCCAGCTGCTACACATGGGACAGGTGCGTTCGTGCGTGTGTATGTGTGTGTGTGTTTGTGTGTGTATGTTCGTCCCATCTACTATGGCGACGGTTTACGGGCCTTTCGGCGTGTATATTTGACGCATCAGCCGGGGTCACACAAGAGAAGGTCGCACACGAGTTTTTTTTTTCACTTTGTTGTTTGTTTTGCCCCACTTTTCTTTCCTCCTGCGGTGCTTGCCTTGGTATATTTCGCGAGAAGGGTTCAGCCATCCCTTTCCCTCTTCGACCGTAAACAAGCCGAGAGGGCGTCTACTCACACGACCTAGATTGCTTTCCCCTAGTAATACAGGTTGCTGGACCCATATTCCGGGAATGTACACCCTCCGCGGAGGGAATCGAACCCACACCCTGCCGCTAGGTAGTCGTGCAGATTGCCCACTACAGTTACACCACCTTGTATGTTCCCTTTTTTTTCGAATCGACCGCGCTCTACCCGGCTGACCAGTGAAGCGTCTTGCTCCATGGTGCTGATACTGCCTTTTAGCTTATTGTTCGTCTGCGGGGCCCCCATTACGTTCTCGTTTTTCCGTTATCGGTCGCCTCGGCATAGGCCTGTTGAAAAATAATCTTGCAACGGTTGGCGTTGCAGCGGGGGGGGGGGGGTACTGGTGGNCTTACTTCCTTGCGTACGGATGACAGCTGCGTATGACTTAATGTATTTTCTGGTGCTTTCACTTCCTGAGACAGTTGTAAGCACTGTGTAACTGCATCGAGGGTGCTTGGCCATTTCAACACGACGTGGTGCGATCATCCCCCTTCCGCGGAGTGAGGGTTTCCGACCCCGCACAACATGATGTACTCGACCACCATCATGGTTACCGCCAAGAAAAAAGCAAACGGTAACCTGGTTGCCGAGTTCACGAAGTGAATTGGCTTGTTTGACAACGTCATTGCCAAGCGACGAAACCGGGGGGGGACGTCGATGGAACACCGGTTGATTAGCGCCTGTGACCCTATTGTAGCGCCGGTGAAATCGCTAGGTGCAGATTGACCCATAGAGTTAATTCTGCACATTGAGTGCTGTTTTGCCGGTCACTCTAAATATATAGCGCCGGTCGAATGCGCCGGGCCTTGTAGAGGGCCCTCCACTGTATCACGCACGCCCCCTTCCCCCCCGGAACTGAATACGGTGGAGGGGGGGGGGGGGGNNNGGGGGGGGGGGGGGGGGGTGTTGCGACCCCTAGGGTCGCGACGAAACGTGACCGGTATTCAAGGAAGGTCGCTGAACCTAAATACCGGTACAACCAAATATATTGGCAGTTACACGACGGGGGTGCGGCGGTGCGGCGTGGTTTTGTTGTGGTCACTAAGCCACAACAGGGCATGTCGCCAAACAGGGGGGTCGCTAAACCGGCCCCCCTACGGAGTGAGATTGTACATGAACCGAATACGAGTGCCTGATCCAGTACCTGGCTTCCTCTTGTCGGTCCATCACGCCCGCGGCACCGACAAAACCGCACAACGAAGTGTATTGAACCAATTTGAGGAAGCAACCCCCGAAAAGGCAGCGTCGGCACCAGACGCTCGCTTCGGTTCATGAATGCATACAACATCTTGCTTTTCTTGATAGGTCCCAGGGAACAGGAGGCGCGAGGGATAGCGAAAACTGTGGGGGGGTTGTATCCAGAAAGCCCATGCATCGAAATGATGACGCTTTCGTCGATACAGATTTGCGTTGTCGATGGACTTCAAGTATGAAAATGAGCGAGGCGGCCGACGTACAGTACGTAGGTTGCACCTGCATATACCGTACCGTCCTGGACCGATTTTGAAGAGCTCGATCACTCCACGAAGAGGATACGTGCATTCTACCTTGTCGACATGTTCGTTTCGCGCCATACGATGAGACCTCTCGATGCTGATGCTATGTAGATGGCGTGTTTTCATTCATCCGTATCCCAGCCTAGTTTCCCGAGGTTTTGACCACTCCACTTACACTCGAATGTCAAGGTCGTCGTGAAAACCGCCAAGACATCTGCCGGGCCTAGGTCACCGGGTCCAGAGCCTATGAACGAAACCGCAGCGTGTACACACATACCTATCAGAGCCTCTTTATATTCCCCCCCTTCCCATGCTCCGTCCTTTCGAGGACGCGTGGTCAATGGTCTAACTGCTAAGGCATGCAAAACATAAGAGTACCCCTCCCCCCCCCATCCAATAGCGCCTGGTCCGGTGAGAACCCAGCGTGCTCCGTCCCGGCTTTTTAGGGATGCGAGGTTAACGGTTTAACGACTACGGCATGCACGACTATGAGTACCCCCCCCCCCCCCCCCCCCCCCCCCCCCCNATTAACGTCGTCTTTTTGAGAAAACGGCCCAGCAGTTATGCCCTGCGGAGCTCATCAGGCTGGTGGAAAGCCCGTTGACGAAGTAAGAACAACCGCTTGGCGCCAGGATTTTCCGCCTCCACAGCAATGTTCATCTCCCGCAACGTGGTTACGCCCCCAATAACACCCAAAACAAACCAGCACCCCATCCAAAAATTATTCATACACATGCGCATCGCCTCTCTGGACTGAGCGTCAACCGCCGTCGTTGCTGAAACCGCCGAGCAGATATGCCCTGCGGAGTTCATCGGGTTCATCGAGAGCCAGAACCCGCTCCACATCAAGGGGGAGCCCATCTGCTCGCACGACGAACTCATGGCCAACTTCTTCGCCCAGGCACGATGCGTGTTCCACGTTGACCGGATATGGTATGGTGTACAGAGCAGAATCTTCAGTTTCAGGTCGACGATCAATTCGTTCCAAGGCCTTGGCCATCCATCGGTGATCGATCGGCCCTGTGGGGACAACAATGCTCCGTCCTCTGGAAGACGCGTGGTCAATGGTCGAGCCGATAAGGCATGCAATGCATAAGAGTACCCCCCCTCCCCCCCCCCCCCCNGGCATGCAATGCATAAGAGTACCCCCCCTCCCCCCCTCCCGATGCTGTGTTTTCTTTTGTGTGGCAGCCGGATGCGCTGGCCGTGGGAAAGCCCAGCGAGGAGCTCGAGCGGGAGGGGTGCAGACCAGACCTCATCCCCCACAGAACGTTCGACGGTAACCGGCCGTCCCTGTCGCTCCTGGTCCCCAAGGTAAATCGTCTATTGTCGTCGCTGTGGTTGTTGTCTTGGTTTTTTTATTGTTGTTGTTTATCTTGCTGGTAGTGGCAGTGTTGTCGCTGTTGCGGCCGGGACAGGTGCTTTGGCGTTATCTGCGAGCATTCCAAGATTTCACTGGTGCTGGGGTGGACGCCGTTGTTGCTGCTGTTGTTGTTGTTGTTGTTGTTGTGACAACCATAACTTGGTTCTTGAGGCGTTTTCTCAAGCAAATCAGAAAAAAAACGGTTTCGTCTCGACGGGACAGGAAGCGTTTTTTTTTTTTTTTTGCCAACAGCAGCAACGCTGAATTTTCAAGTATAAACCACACGCCCCACATCCGTATACATGCCTCTTTCTTGTCTGTCCGTGAAGTTGAACGCTTACCACCTGGGACAGATACTGGAACGGTTTCGTCTACGTTTTGCCAGGAAACCGTTTTTTTTTTGTTTTGTCGCCAACATCAGCAACACCGAAGTTACCAGCAACTTACACACGGCACGCCCCATAATCATACATGCCTCTTTCTTGTCTGTCCGTGTAGGTGAATGCCTACCACCTGGGACAGATACTGGAACGGTTTCGTCTACGTTTTGCCAGGAAACCGTTTTTTTTTTGTTTTGTCGCCAACATCAGCAACACCGAAGTTACCAGCAACTTACACACGGCACGCCCCATAATCATACATGCCTCTTTCTTGTCTGTCCGTGTAGGTGAATGCCTACCACCTGGGACAGATACTGGAACGGTTTCGTCTACGTTTTGCCAGGAAACCGTTTTTTTTTTGTTTTGTCGCCAACATCAGCAACACCGAAGTTACCAGCAACTTACACACGGCACGCCCCATAATCATACATGCCTCTTTCTTGTCTGTCCGTGTAGGTGAATGCCTACCACCTGGGACAGATACTGGAACGGTTTCGTCTACGTTTTGCCAGGAAACCGTTTTTTTTTTGTTTTGTCGCCAACATCAGCAACACCGAAGTTACCAGCAACTTACACACGGCACGCCCCATAATCATTCATGCCTCTTTCTTGTCTGTCCGTGTAGGTGAATGCCTACCACCTGGGACAGATACTGGAACGGTTTCGTCTACGTTTTGCCAGGAAACCGTTTTTTTTTTGTTTTGTCCCCAACATCAGCAACACCGAAGTTACCAGCAACTTACACACGGCACGCCCCATAATCATTCATGCCTCTTTCTTGTCTGTCCGTGTAGGTGAATGCCTACCACCTGGGACAGATACTTGCCCTGTACGAGCACCGCACGGCCGTGGAGGGCTTCATGTGGGACATCAACTCGTTCGACCAATGGGGCGTGGAGCTTGGCAAGAGCCTCGCAACCGACGTAAGTTGTGCGTTGGCTTAGGCAAACGCGGTACATCGCGGCTGATATCACCCTCCCCTCAGTAGCTCGACGTTGGCTTTTGAGAGGCGTACATGGCGGCTGATCGGTGCAAATGTTTCGGCATAAAAGTCCCTGGTACATGTGTCGAGCGACTGGCCAGAGAAATCGACGACGACAACGAAATCGATACGGTTGGTTCACAGGGCGCGATCGGCTTCTACAATCCGCGATTCGATGCACGTTTACATTGGCGGGGTTTGTTGTGCTCGCCCATCTACGTCAACCACACTCTGGCCATCGCTTTCCCCGGCTATTTGCTACCGCCATTCGTCCAGATTCCGCGGGCGAAATGTTTGTTCTTTGTCCACCACCCGTCAACAACAACTTGAGCTCCCCCC